GTCAACACGGACCGAATCCCGGATCACCCCGGATGGGGTCCGGGATGGTCCGGGACGGTCCGGGACGTATATGGGACTGTAGCTTAAGCCCCAGTCCCATATAAAGCCGGACCAGCACGGACGAGCACGGACCTCAGGACCATCCCGGACCATGGTCTGGGGTGATCCGGGATGGTCCGGGATGTTTTGTTCAAAAAAGTGTGATGCTTTAAAAGCTACAGTCCCATATACGTCCCGGACCGTCCCGGACCATCCCGGACCCCATCCGGGGTGATCCGGGATTCGGTCCGTGTTGACACCGTGTTGGCACCGGGGTGGTCCTGGATGGTCCTGGATGGTCCTGGGCGGTCAATAACTCACTCCCGGACTGCCACGGATCAACACGGACCGCCCCGGCGCCACTACGGATGACCCCGGACCCAGCACGGTGGCTACACGGATCACCCCGGATCAAACTATTGTCCCGGACCGTCCTGGACCACCCCGGCAGTTTTTGACCGTCAAAAACATCCGGGGTCGACTCCCGGACCGCCCAGGACCATCCAGGACCGTCCAGGACCATCCAGGACCATCCAGGACCACCCCGGTGCCAACACGGTGTCAACACGGACCGAATCCCGGATCATCACGGATGGGGTCCGGGATGGTCCGGGACGGTCCGGGACGTATATGGGACTGTAGCTTTAAAAAAGCATCACACTTTTTTTAACAAAACATCCCGGACCATCCCGGATCACCCCAGACCATGGTCCGGGATGGTCCGGAGTGGTCCGTGCTCGTCCGTGCTGGTCCGGCTTTATATGGGACTGGGGCTTAAAGCTACAGTCCCATATACGTCCCGGACCGTCCCGGACCATCCCGGACCCCATCCGGGATGATCCGGGATTCGGTCCGTGTTGACACCGTGTTGGCACCGGGGTGGTCCTGGATGGTCCTGGATGATCCTGGATGGTCCTGGATGGTCCTGGCCGGTCAATAACTCACTCCCGGACTGCCACGGATCAACACGGACCGCCCCAGCGCCACTACGGATGACCCCGGACCCAGCACGGTGGCTACACGGATCACCCCGGATCAAACTATTGTCCCGGACCGTCCCGGACCACCCCGGCAGTTTTTGACCGTCAAAAACATCCGGGGTCGACTCCCGGACCGCCCAGGACCATCCAGGACCACCCCGGTGCCAACACGGTGTCAACATGGACCGAATCCCGGATCACCCCGGATGGGGTCCGGGATGGTCCGGGATGGTCCGGGACGTATATGGGACTGTAGCTTTAGTCCTTTACACAATATTGATAATGATGATAATAATTATTTGTTAAATATGAATAATAATGACCATGTTAATAGTGATAATAATAATAATTATAACGAGAATAATAATAAAAGGCCCGTGGCGGTTTTTATATCTAAACGAGCATTTTTACCCGCGCTAAGCAAATTCCTCCAGGCAATTTGCCCATACCCCGGTATTAATCCAACGAGTTCAATGCTAGATTTTATAATCCTTTTCTTTGGGCATTGTCGCCCTCATCGGGCGCATTAAAGTCTAAACCTGTTAATGACGTAGTCCTACCCCCCCCCCCCCCCCCTGGGAAAAATAGGAGAGGAGAATCGATAGTCTTGTCTCTTCCCTCAGTGGAGAGGCAAATCGGATCGGGAAATTGTAGATTGATTTTAGATGATAATACGATAACGATAATGATGATGATAATGAGATGATAATTATATTAATAATAATCACAATAATAATACAAATAATAATGATTATAATAATGATAATGATAATAATAATAGTAATACCAACAATGATAATAATAAATTAAATGTAACATTTTAGGGACCCCTTCATGGGGGCAAGACGGGTTATTTACTGGAAAGAAGAAAAAAAATCCTCTGGACGGCCATGCATTATGGCTCAAGGCATGGGCACACAGAAGATTGTTTTAATTTGGGAACCGGGGTAAAATGCAATAAATTATTGAAAATTTATTGCATTTTCTGTTTTTTTTTTATTTATGGAAACTGCCCCCTACCCTAGCCCCCGCTGCGTACAGTCATGGTTCAGTGACAAAGCAATGGCCTCGTAACTGCAAGGCCCCATGATCAAAACCTTGTCGATGTGCTATATTAGTGCCCTTTTGTGGGGCATTGATCCTCATTACTGTCATTTATGAGTTAAGGGCATAGGTCCCCTAGTTGATAAGCATAGTAGCATACACATGCTTTAGCAGTCCCGCAAAACACACATTGGCAAATTATTATTCAATAAAAGCTGAGAATGTATACTATTATCTAGATCTATTATTTTTAAACTATTTTTAAAATAATTCCATAAATTGGGATTTAAAAAAAATATTCCACCTTTATGAGCGACAGTGTACTTCGAAACTTTAGATGTAAATGTGGAACAAATAAACTTCAAATTTCAAACTACTTCAAACATTTCAAACAGCGTTTACAAATTTCATTCGAGGAAAATGCAAGTCAGGGTTGTTTAAAAGAATAATATTTAGACTATTGATGGCACCACAGTCGCATGGCACGAGCTTCTTACTAGAGTTTTATATTTATATATTAGTTAGTTAAAAAGCTCACGTTAACAGCTCGTGCCAAGCTCCGCATTCCGCTAAAATTTCAGTTCATTTGATTTGATTTGATTTGATAAGGTTTTATTCGAATATTCAACAATACAGCTGGAGGCTGATACAAGTGAATTAACAAGGTAAAAATAATTCCATAGACATAAAAAATATAATTATATGCTTAAACACTTTTAAATGAATCCAGATATAAACAGTACATAGTAAATAAATCATAGATAATGAAAACAATAATAATATTGAGTTCGGTTTGCATACTTGGATATGAAATAAATAGAAATTCAAAGGGTGTAAGATCAGGTATACAGTTTGAGAGTCGGAGCAGGACATTTTGATAATGTATTAAGAGAAAAATTATTATTGATCATTAAAAAATTGAAATTAAATGATTAAACTGTAACATTTACATGAAGTATATATACAAAATAATTCGATAAAATACAATTATTAAATATTGTTATGTATGATCTTCATGAATACGTGATGTAAAACCCGGCTTGAAAACATAAAATTACATTTATTAAATTAAATTTATTAAAATAACATTAATAATTATTGCATTGATCAACTTGCATTTATCAAAGTTGAATTTAAAAAGTCAGATAATATACATTGTTCTTTTGAGTTGCATAGATTGGCAATGAAAATATCTTTTATAATAATTTATCGGATAAAAATTGCATTTAACTAAATTATATCTCTAAAAATTACATTTCTTTTCACAAAATCAAATTCTTAAAAAATGCATTTTATCAAAGTTCTATTTATTAAAATCATATTTATCACAACTATATTTATAAAACTAGATACAAATTCAGATAGAGGTTCAGGATTAAATAGCTAGACCTATATGAGGAGGTCGGGATTCTTATTTAGTAAACGAACAATTGATGGGATACTAGAATTGTAATATCTTGTGGTCCTGCATTTTGGTTCATGGAGAAGATGTGAGTTCCGTAACTGCCTTCCAGACAGTGATTGTCGGGACTTTGGAAGAAAGTCACGATGGCGAGCTGACGTGAGAAGGTCACGTGCAAAAGAGAGGAGAAGACCTTCTCGTCGTGAGTGGAGAGAATCAAGACGGAGGTGATCCAAAGCACCGCGGTAGGAGTCATACCCACCAAGGATGACTCGACAGACCCTTTTCTGCACACGTTCAATGTCATTGGATTGAGCAGTGGTCAGTGACGAGGACCAGACAGGTGATGCGTATTCAAGTACAGGTCTGATGTACATAGCATAAATAGCAACCAAATCAGAGGTCGGAAGACTACATATTTTTAATTATACTGAAATTCTATGATTTTTGCAAGTCAGGGGTATTTAAATTTGTTTTTTTATTTAAACTGTTTATGGAACCACAGTCGCATGGCACGAGCTTCTAACTTGAGTTTTATACTTATATATCAGTTAGTTAAAAAGCTCACGTTAACAGCTCGTGCCATGCTCCGCATTCCGCTAAAATTTCAGTTCAGTTCAGTACATGTTGAATAGGCATATCTTGGAAACCTCCCCATGCACAAATAGTAGACAAAGAAATAAATTAGTTGACAAAAAAGGAGTAAATGACAGACTAGTATATAAGATGTTAGATAAAGAATAAAATCATACGAAATGTTACCTTTTTAAAATTTTGTTTACATTGATGCCATTCTATATTCATAGGACTATCTCAGGGCGCTGTGATTGGCGTTTCTTGCGGTGTCATTATCGCCATCGTTTTATTTGGAGCAGTGTGTTTTTGGACGTGAGTTGTTTATCAAATTTACTGTTCTTATATTTAGAATAAATATGTTCATCTGATACAGATAATAAAGGACTGAATTAGTTTTGTTTTACTTATCTATTTATTTATCTAATACTTATTTATTAATTCATTCGTCGTATATGTTTATTAAACTATAAGTTAATTCATTCATTCATTAACCTTGTTACTTATTCATTTACTGATTGATTGATTAGTTATGAATTAATTATTTATTAGCTCTCTTTTTTTCTTCATCCATTCATGAAGATAAAAACGAGATACATCTTCGATGGTAATTCTAATTTAAAGATCCGCCCTTCATTAAGGACAAATGCATCCTTTTCGTACTCTAAGTTATAACTCTAAAAGGATAAAGAAGGAAAAAGCTTAAAGTGATCTTACAAAAATGACGATAAGCTTTAGTTAGTCCCATGACATTTCATTGTAAAGTGGTAAAGTTATAACTTTAAAAGGATGAAGAAGGAAAAAGTTTAAAGGCATCAAACAAAAATCACGATAAGCTTTTGTTAGTCCCAAGACATTTCATTATAAAGTGGAAAAAGGAGGGCAGTTTAAACATTTTAGAAATGAATAGCAACATGGCAACTGATGTTATCTTAATATTATAAACATTGTATATATTCTAGGTATAAGAAATCTCGAAGAACTGTCCCACCTATGACCCAGACCGCAGCCCCGGCGGATGTTCCTGGAACCTACACGCTACCCACGGTTAACTATGAGGGTTCTGATGCCCAAGTTCAGGGAGGACCAACCGTGATGGGTGCTGTTGGATGGACCCCACCTGCTGGTCCCCTTCCCGAGAAGGTTCAGATACAAGGTGAGCAAGCAGCCCGTGTCGAAATGCCCCCTCCAGCATATTCGTACGCGATACATAATCCAGCAACCAGCACAAGCAACAACCCTTCTGAAAATGAAAAATGAGAAAGAAAGAAACAAGCAAAAACGAAACAAATGAGAGGAAGGAATATAATAATAATAAATATATAAAAATCTAATCTTATGAAACTACGCAGGCCTAGAATATGGGTGTGTGTGTGGATGCGTTGGTGTAATTCCCCCTTTCAGAAAATGCCTTATCGTACAATCGAAATAATACACTTTTGTTTTCTTTCTAGTTTTAGCAATTATCATTAACCAGATACCGGTAACCCTATCTGCCTATTAGCTTTACTTACACAGCTTATAACTTGTAACCACAGCAAGTCACTTTTATTGACTGTTTGAGTACACGGATTAGCAATTCAATCACAAAGTTTAGATTATATTTGTTATGGCATGTGTATGTATCGTATGTTTTGTTTCGGCGACCCCATCACAAGCCCGATGTTTTTAGGGAATTTTGCCTCATTTCTCCATAAAATTGTAAATATGTATTTCATATTATTTTCACTTTGCTTTTGTGTAGGAGAGAAAATGTTGATTTGAATTTAAAGTTAAATACGAATGTACATTATATAGCATTTACAAGCCTAATTATGACTTTCAATTTATGAATTAAAAATATAATCAGAGGTATGAATTATGTTATTAGACATTGGCCTGTTTTGCAGCCCAAACATATCTTAAAGCTTCTTTCGTAATTGCGTGACATGTAATTATTTTAAATGATATTTGCTGAGTTCAAAGGTCTTAATGTATTTACAATTTTCGGTTTCAATGCAAACAAGTTTCAATGCAAGGCGTTTGACTTGTTTTAAATCAGCATTTCCTTACTACGAGAGAAGTGTAGGAATTTAAGAGTTTTTGAGAGCTTCTCCGTTCGTGGGTATTTAAATGAATAGATATTAGTAAGTACAAATAGATTAATGAAACCTTTTTTATACAAGAGTACTATGTCAGATCATATGGCCAGCCTGCTCCCCCTTCCCCCCCCCCCCCTCTCTCTCTCTCTTTCTCTTTCTCTCTCTCTCTCTCGTGCAGTGCAAACACTGTTACGCACAGCGACTGACAAGGGCGTGTGCCTACAAACTAATACAAGCCTATGCTATAGATGTATTGATTTGTTGTACATTAAAAAACATAACCAAAGAAACTTAACATCGAGCAGAATATGAGTTTATTTTATATTAATGGTTTGGTAAAATCGTCAATAATGAAAGATATATTATCTAACTAAATCGAAGGGTAAAACAATGCTAAATTATTACTTGATGTAAATTCATAACATAAACGAAGGTGCGAAAATTTGCCGCATGTTCTTTTTTGTTTTGTTTTCTTTAGTGTTTAATTTTGTGAACCGCCTGTATTTGGATATTCCATAGCCACATTAGGAAAAATCTAACTTCGTTTTTTTTAAATTCTATTCATCAACCATTAACAAAATATATTACATACATATTATAAACGTATCTAAATAGCCACATCGAGCAACAACTGATTCAAGATACCTTAATTGTTCTAGATTGATTAGGCCCTGATATTTATCGTCAATTTTATAAGCTTGCCTATAGCATAATCAAGTTCTCTCCTATTTAAAGGTGCTATGTCCCATTTGCAGTCAAAACAAATGAAAAGAATTAAATTCCACCGGTATTTGAAAGATAATACTTATTTAAAACTTCCCTCAAAACGAAAGGGCTTGAAAATGTCTTTATTTTTAGGTAAAATAACGACCCTTAGTTGTCGAATCGAGTTTAGGGATTGCAATCCTTTTAATAAACAGTCTGATTTTCAGCCCCTTGTACCGAATAGTCGTACGTTTTGTGCTGCGCAAAGATTCAATCAGTTTACTTTTGGCCATTACAAGAAGTGGGTTATTGATGTATAGACAAATGCTCATGTACCCTTCACAGCTCATTATTTGTATGTATGTTATTACCAAAGAAAAAGAGAAGTCAATCAGTCACTCGATAGTGTCTGACAGTGAATTCTAGAAAATAAACGTGTTTCCTTGCAAAATTTGAATATTGGACACTGCTAACGTTTAGATTCCACAGATAGAACATACGTGACGTATTCATAATTCCTGCAAAGTTCTACAGCATTTGATGTTGGCTGCAAATGGGACATAGTACCTTTAATGCTCGCTACTGAAAACACCACAATACAATTACAAAATATTCTATTTGATATTCCATCCAGCCTGCGTCCTGAGAATACCTATAACATATCACAAAAAATGAGAAGATTTAAAATTGCTAATAATGATTCATTTTGTTCGATTGAATTTCTTTCTTCATTCAATCTAACAAGCCTACACATGGCAACATATACTCTGTCATGGCGTTTAAACCACGAACATATATAATACGAATAATAATAGTACACATAATGATTCTCCAAACGCAATACTTTTTTCAATATTGTCGAAAGCCACACATGTATGTACGAACTATGCCCCATATGCCACTACATAAGGCTATGAAAATTATATCCGACCATCTTTCAAAATATTTAACAAAAATAAACAACATATTTGTACAGTGTCATTGGTATTCTCCGTGCGTGCGAAAGAATTGTGATTGCATTCTATAATAATAGATAATTATTCAATTTATTTCTATTACTTTCAATTATGTTTGTCTTTATATAGATGATATACATTATGTTCATGCCATACCATATATTTCGTTTTAAAAATGATCAATGAAACTTTTTTTAAGATAACGCCTTTTTATCTCTGAGGGGTGATCGGGTAGTTAAAGTAAAAACAAGAATTTAACAATTTGAAATGGATTGTTTAAGCCACATAAACAAAGTAAACCAAAGCACTATACGTTCGGGCAAATTGGGCCATGGATGCGGTGACGTTAACAAGCGACGCGTCTTTCAAACAATTTGTGAAAATGATTTATCGCTTAGTACTTACGGCCACCTAAATGTGCAAAATGATACGTGAAAGGAAATTTAAATGAATAATTTTCGCTACATGATCTTGTACTGAGATAAAGTAGGAGGTGACGTTCAAACTGATCAGTGATTTAGAATAAAATATATGGCCTTGTCATCGCTGATCATATGACTAAAACACACTTGGGGGTACTGGTAAGTTTGAAATGGAGAGAGATAGAGAAAGGGGGATATATAGAAAATAACAAGAGAGAGAAGAGAGGGGAGAGATAGAGAGAGATGGAGATAGAGAAAGATAGAAAGAGATAAATAGGTTGAGAGCGATATAGAGAGTGAAGAGATGAGAAAAAAGAGAAAGGGTCATGGGAGAGAGCACGGGAGAAAGAGAGAGAAAGAAATAGAGAGGGAGAGAGAAGGAGAGAGAGAGGAGGAAAGAAATAGAGAAAGAAAGAAAGAGAGAAAGAGAGACAAAAAGAGAGGGAGAGAGACGGATGATAATGGTGAGATAGATAAAAAGATAGAGAGGGAGATGTAGAGAGCGATATAGATTGAGAGAGAGACAAAGAAATAGACATACGTCGAGGTACGAGAACCCTCGAACCGAACTGCTGTCGTTTTCTCTCAGTTTTTTCTTTCTCGATCCCCATAATTGCGGACGATCATATCTCAATCATTGTGAATTCAACATACTTAAGATTAGAGAAATATTAAATGTTAACTTACATGTAAGTTTATCATGGCATCTTAATAGAATGTTATCGATCACACAACTTCATGATGCCATGGTACATACAATGTGGCACATTGTGATTATTTGTTTGGCATGCATTGTATAAAGAAAACATTGACTTTTAACAATGTGCATTAAGCATCAGGTGAGTTTTAAGCCCAATTTTAAAAGTAGAAAGAGTGTTGGCCGTCTGAATAGAGAAAGGTAACTTATTCCACAAAGAAGGAGCTGCTGATACAAATGATCTATCGCCCCCCCCCCCTAAAAAAAGGGGGGGGGGAAGGAAATTTGGTACGTATTTCTTTAAGCCTGACATTATGTGATGAACGTAAACCAGAACGACATGCGGAGTGGGGCGATAGAAGGGATGAAATATATTCTGCAGCTAGATCATTTAGTGCACGATAGGTTGAGAGTAAAATTGTATAGATCACACGCTGTTGAACAGGGAGCCAGTGAAGAGATTTCAAGAAAGGAGTGATATGTGATGATCATAATACCTGCCTCAATGTATCAAATTATAGCAGTACATGTGCTGATTAACTAATCCGATATTCATGATAGGGCTTTGGTAGAGCAAATTCAAATTGGGGGTCGATGTGGTGTCGGCCAGACTTGCCAACAAGATAGCCGAAAATTCCGAGCGAGCAAGGAAAATAAAATGCTCTTTTGCGCTTTTTTTTTTTTTTTTTTTTTTTTGGGGGGGGGGGTATCTGATCCCCTACAAATACTCAGCCAAATTTTGCTAATATGTCATGGTAGAAATATAACTGAATGCTAGGTAATTACATCACTTTGCAAAAGAAATATCTAATCATAAATATATATATATCCCCTATAAATAAATGTCCTAGCATCGATGTTTCCGACCTATCTGTGAGCTATCAATACATATTTTTCAAAACTTTTGAAAGTGAACATCCATAACCAGGTTAAAATTGCAATGAAACCAATGATGCCACTCAAAAATATGCGTAACAGCTGCCTCCTTAAAAACAAAACAAGTATCATCAGGACGACATGACCGTTTGAAATAATGTACAACTGGGCTGTCCCCCTTCACCTTATCCCCAAAGCCATGGATACGCTACTAAATTGATGGTAAATATTACAAAATCAAACTTTCATTAGTCTCTTGCCCAGAGGTCTGTTCTAAGCATTAATGATTGAATTCATTTTAAAGAAAAATAAATAAGAATAAACCATAACTACCATCCGCCTTACATTTAACCTCGCAAAACTAGTTTCCGACTTTAAAGAAACATCTCCATCAACTCGATATCCAATATGCAACTTAATAAAGAATATTAATAAAGTAATTGGATCGTAAATCAATTAACGCATCGTCTGATAAACATCGGAAGGACAACAGGCAGGGGTGATAGCTTAAATAATGTTTTCT